AACAAATAGATAGTAATAAAATACATACAATAAACAATAATATATATATATATATATATATATATATATACTATAAGGTGTTTTCAAGCACCACCGCCTAACACGTACCCGATATTACACAGAACACGCGGTCAATATGGATGTTGCACATTGCAAGTTGTATCAACATGACCCATATGCGACCTATGTACGTCAGCTGAAAGGGAACTGGTCTCTCGTTTTATATTCACCAAAGTAATCAGTACGCTAATTTGATCAAGACCAAATGTAAGTCGAAGCACCCCAACTAGCGCAGATATGACAAATAGATAGTATAAAAATCATCAATAAAACAGCAAGTACATAATATAAAGCTCATCAATAAGCCTACATTCAAGTAAATGACCAGCGCGCCTATAGTGCTGTCGTACGGGTATGCACACCACCACCACAATCAAGCCAGTAACCCCCAAAAAAAACATCAACGCTATCCAACAACATTCATACCCGCATTACAGAGAGCGGTGGCGACAAAGGGGATTTTTCTCAGTGTATTTAATAATAACAATACCACAGCGAAAGACAACAACCAACAATACTATAACTTACTAAAGGCAACAACCACAATAATAAAACTAAAGCCAACGACCAATATACTATAACTAACTAAAGCCAATAACCACAATACTATAACTAACTAAGCCAACAACCACACAACTATAACTTACTAAAGCCAACGACCACAATACTAAAACTAACTAAAGCCAACAACCACACTACTATAACTAACTAAAGCCAACAACCACACAACGTATTGTTTTATCAACGTATTACATACCCGCATTGCGCAGATCCGTGTTCGCAAAGGGTGTCTTTCGCTTGGCCTCTGTTGTGTGCGCTACAGCTGCGCTTTCTTTTGGTGCGAGTGTGTTGGCCTTGGGCGTTCGAGGCTTAGCCGCGGTGACTACGGTTGGGACCGGTTTGGGCTTGTCCTGGTTGTATGATTTGGCTGTTGGAAGGGGTGAATGGAGAGTGCGTGGGTGAGATAGAGAATGTGCGGTACAAACAGATTGTACTTCAAATCCAATGGTGCTGTTTATCCCCTTGTCCCGTGCGAGTCTTGTTAGTGTGATTTGCCTGTGGGTAGTGCTCAAAATGTGTATATCCAGTACAGGTGAACAACAATACTATGACCAACTGTTACAAAATTCGATATGTGCAGATGTTTGTATGGGAGTAAACAACCCCATACAATACACACACACAC